AATGAGAACAAGACCCACTGTTTCCCTTTCATATTCAGAGAATGGCTTCATCCCTTTTACCCCCTGTGACTACCTGAATGATCTTCACGCTATTGAAAGTTTCCGAACCAAGTCTATTGTGTATTGTGATCTCTTTAACAGTTCTTGCAAAACCCGGAGGGGCAGGAGGCAGAACAAGGCGTCGCGAGTCCCAAAAATAGCAAACTCGCCAGAGGGAGTTGGAGAGAAAAAGAGGCTTCCCGAGCCACAACGCCGGACGCCTCTTCCCTGCGCCGTCGAGTCGCTCCATGTCGACGCTTCCCTCTCTCCTCGCCGTTCAAAGCGGAGGACGCCGTGACATATTACGGCGAGGGCAGCACAACAAAGACCTCGCCTAAGAAGAAGCGGCCCCCGGGCCAGCCGGCTGGCTGGCTGCCCGCCCGCCTCCCAGGCTGACTTTTTACACATTGTTGATGAATGGTTGTGTGTCTTTCCCGAAGGGGCGGCGCACAGTCAGAGGATACACAGCGACGGGCTCGCACAGGGTGGAGAACCTACACGTATGCTTTCGGATCAATGCTAGCAGAGGTGCATGGAGATACGGGCAGGAAGGGAGATAAGGACGCATGCGTAGATGCGTCTGTGTTGAGGGTGTGGTTCATTCCTGGAACATTGGGAGGTTGTTGGCGGAATGTTGATGAGACTGTGTGCGGTTAGTGTGCTACCGCGGCTTGGATAGGGGGGCACCGCAGGTCATGGAGACACCTTGTCCCAGTCGTGTCGACCACTTGTTTCTACCTCTGCTCCGTGTTCACGTACACACACACACACTGCAGACAGTAACAGAGACGGTAATGGCACCTTTGCACCTTTGGCTACAAGGGTGAAGTGTTAATCGCAGCCGAGTAAGAACAGCACGTGTCGGAATTAAAACAGCGCCGGCGAAGTTGTGAAAATACACAAACGTGTCGGTTTCTTGGGCTTTTTTGAACATAGCCCCGGTCCTGCCACAGAGTGCGAGGTTGTAATTAATTTAGTACATTTGGCCTCAAAGTCGGTGGCTCAGCAGCAGCCAAGAAAACCCCACCAATGTGGTCCGTCGGGCACTTCAAAGCGACAGAGTCTACTTACTGTTATTAACAGTCCAAGCAGCTCTACCAACGTAGGGAACAGAGGGCTGAATTTCTTTGTAAGTAATTGTTTGAAGAAAATAGTAATCCAGCTTCTGTGTTGGGATGAAAAGAAAATGTTCCAAATTTGTGCAAATAGTAAGAAAAGGTCATTTTGTTATGCAGTCCAGCTAATTTGCAAAATATTGGATCACGTGACTGATATTGTACCAATAGAAACGTGTGTTCATGCAGTTCCATCCACAATATTTAGTTTGTTTGAGTACAATATGCAAAGGGAGATAAAGACCTGTTCTCATTTCAAAGACGCAATCAATTTTGGTTGTGCTATCCGAAATCTCTTTAGAAAAAAATAGACAAAAAAACAGGACGGCTTTGCCGAAAAAATGCGATCAACGTTGTCACCCCATCAAAGCCGAATCACAGTAAAAAGGGATTTTTTTTCTAGCACAGGCGAGGACTTTGCAATCACGCAGTTTGAGTTTACGAGACACATGAAAGAGCTCCATAGTGGCCAAATCACCTGCATTCAAATCCCAAAAGCAACATTTCACCAAAGAATCTCTGTCTTTACTTTGCATTTCTCGAGGACTGTTAATCAGATCATTGAACTGGAAGGGGGCCGAAGGGTCGGCTTTTGTCGAATATGATGCTACTCACCACATGTTGTAGTGAAGTGGTAGAAGGAAGTATTTTGTATGAGTTGCAACACCCTACCGAGAGTAAAGAGAGTTTCCCCAACCGGCAGGTTTTGAACGGGCAGTTGTCTCTGTAAGCCGTGCCCTCCTTTCCTTAAGAGGGAACTACATCCAGGATCACATAATCCAATCAAGTTAAGCTAATATTTCCCCCACCAAAAAGCCAACCCCTTAATCACCACCCTCTTCATCAATCCATTTAGCCGCACCTGCAGTGAGCAGCTTCCAGCTCCTCACGCCAGCATCCAACCAGCAGCTCTTCCATCATCGCCAGCATCAAGATTCCACGGATTGGAGTGCTCTGGCCTGATGTTAAAGTAAATGTATGTTTGAGGTAGTTCTACTTTTAGTTATAAGGCACAAAAGTACAGTTAAATAAGTTAAACAGTGACTTTTTGGTCACAGCAGTCCTGTGTATGCTTGAGCCATCCATCACCCTTGACCAGCCGCCCCAGTGGGTTTGGTTGCTCCTCATGCCACGTCGGCTGACTCCCTCTTTTGCTCATAACATATTTACAGAGGTGGAAGAGGTCGGAGTCATCTTTTTTGTATTTGGGATGGTCATCAATCACGTGGGGAGATGGCAGCGTCATTCCAAACCCGCTAGATGTAAGGCAGGAACATTCTAAACGGCATCTTTGAGGATGATGAACCGCTGATAACACCCCGCTGGTGTTAACATCTGAAGTGGCTTTAGTCACACGCATTTCCATGGGACAGAAATATTTTCAAATGGGTTTTCTGATGCTTTAACTGTTTTAAAATACTGATATTCCCCAACGTGTGTGTGTGTTAACGTACGCCTTTAAAATGCAAACGATTGGGTTAGAGAATTACTTTTTGGGGCAGGAAAGTGTGAATAATGTATCATCTCTTATCGTGACTTGTTATAATTGTGTGCAACCAGTCATTGCGTGGGAGTGTGAGTCACGTACTTTTTTCTTGGTACATCTCATTCCCATAACACCTTGTTTTGTTTTTTTCTCGTTGTTTTTTGAGGTCTTTGTAGCAGCGTGGAGTGCTCTCCCTAACGTCGTTTTAGACCATCATCTACTCGAGAGACAGATCGATGCCACACACAGCAATGATGATGACTCTCAGTGATGATTTTGGAGCCTTGATCTTCACGGTTCTGATGGTGAACACCGTCTCAGCATCGCCTACGAAGCTGTATTCCACATGGACTTATTCCAAAGGCCTTGGGACACGGAGTGGGTAATGTTATTTCTTGTGAGCCTTGTTTGATGCTCCAGACTGTGGAGTCAGAACCATGCGCTGAGTGTGACTCTTTATTTTTCATTTTTTGCCTAAAGGGTTGATTTAAATCTCTGTGTGTGTCATATACTTTTGGACATGTACTAAGGTGAACAAGCATGATTTATTTAATTGAACCCAACCGGCTGTAAAATATGCCACTCTTTCAAACAACAACACGACATATATGTTACACGTCAGCTCGTTGTGTCTGAAATAGGATCCTCACACGGCATTTTAGAGTACATAACCCCACAATGATCTCAGCCCGAGGCTTTCAGTGCGTCCATTTCAACGTTCGTTCCTCATGAATCATAATGTTGAATAAATTACACAACGTTGGCTGAAAACAAAACAAAGAAAACATAATCCTGCTCATGATTGTGAGGGAAGTTGTAGCCATGATGGAAACATTTTATTTGGATTCGTGATAATTAACACAGCCTGAGAGCATTCACATCAAGCCTACGCATACGACCTCCTCCAAAAGCCAACAGCCCAAAAGTGTTTTCCCCAAGAATAGTCCGGCATGTCTTACTATCTCAATACGTGCACGGTGCATTCGTCTTGTGTTGGCTGCACCTCCACGGCAGAAACGTGGAAAGGGTTGGATTTCAATTGGACGATGGAGGGCGCTAGTAAGCAAGGATAAAGCCACTGCTGGATTTCAGACAGCCCGTCGAAGGACGATGAAGCTGCTGCTGGCTCTTTTCCTCCCCACCTCCCCATCTCCTCTCCACTCCTCTCCCCCCTCCTCCCCCTCGCGTGCTGTGCCCCTCAGTCCTTCACTCGCTCGTTCGCTGTATAATCACACGCAGCGCCAAACTGCCCCTTGAATAGAAACACCAGAGTATGCGCGGATTCCAGTTTCAAGTATATGTGTTCCTGGCGGGCGTGCACCACAACACAAGTTTATCCTTTTTGTTGTTGTTGTTGTTGTAGTTGTTGCTCTCAACGCAGCGGTTTAAATGAGCTGCAGTTGGTGTACATGTATAAATCCGTGCGCTCATTTAACCACCTTATACGAATTGGATTTTTTTTGTTACAAGCATGTAAGTGACCGCCGGCATTACGCGGAGGTTCACCGAACACTGCGCCCCTCACAAGCACTCGGATTGCAGCCGCGGCTGGACACACACGGCGCACGCCGGTTGTTACGCGCGGAGTTAGGGTTTGCGCAGCGGCCCGGTCGTCTCGCAGCGCCACGAAGGAGTGAATTTATGTTCTCTCCCTCTTCGCGCAAATTAATTCGGAGGCACTGCATGAGGTTCCCCGAGCGCCGTAGTGGACTGAAAAGGCACGAGGGCGAAAAGACGCCGATGCCGCCGAGCCCCCGGGGAACACGCGCAGCCACCGACGACCACACGCGCGCAAATGTGTAACCGCGGAGAAACCACACCATTGCGCGCACAGACAGCCAGACGTAGCCCGTTCTCTGTCCCGCCTGTGTTGTCCGCTGACGGACAGATATTTGGAACGCGACAAAATAAAAACTACAACCAAGCAGTGCGTAAAAGTTATGATTTGTCATTTGTTTTTTTTTTCTCCAGTCAACATCCCCCCCACATGACACCGCATAGATCACGACATGTGCTTGTTGTAACGTAAAACACATTGCATACTTTTTATGTGGCTGTCGGATAGCGCGCTGTGCCGTACTGGAGTGCATGTATATGAAGCATTGGAACTGTGCTCACAAAAAGAAAATCCGGACCACGCCAGAAAAAAAAAACACCAAAAGGGACAATTATTAAAGCGTCTCACACCTCTGTCCTCTTCTCCGTTAATATTGTCCGTTGGTGTTCGGACCGGGGCGATCAAGACCAAGACCCGACCGTGTTTACGGGCGCGCTGCTGGGGCAGATGACACCGGAGGGGGTGGAGAGAGGGAGAGCGAGGGAGGGAGAGGGAGAGAGACTGCAATATCATTTGTGAATCCCTCTCACAGTGCTGCAGATAGGGGCTGCCAACACATGCGGCGCGTCTGCAGGTGAGGGAACCGGCTGAGTGTTGCTGGATAAAAACTCCACCAACGTTTCCTTAAAACTGCCTAGGATATACATTTTTTTTTGTCCTCGTGTGATATTTTTTCCTTCTTAAAACGTCCGCGGCATTGTGCGGTGGCATACGGGGGGAAGGAGAGAACTGAAGCCTACTGCGCCCCCGCCGCAAGTGACTTGGAGGGAGAGAGCAGAGTGTGACACCGGACAGGTAATGTGCTCCACATTCACATCCTCAAAACCGGAGAGTTGGAAGGCTGCGCGCAGGCAAACCCGCGCGCTCTGCTGAGTTGGGGAACTGCGTTTAAATGCTCCTCTGACATAGGTGGACATATCCTCGGACAGAGGAATATTATAGCGTCGCCCCCCCTCCAAACAAAAAAAGATATTAACTAAAAGGAGATTCGAACCACAGCCTGAGAGAAACGGCGGCATATGGAATTAATTCACTTTCTGGTGACATGATTCTCGGACTATAACATTTTGGCTTATTGCGCGAATTCGTGGAGGCGCACGAAGGCTCTACGGTGACTTTTTGATATCACCGGCATTTTAATTTTATTTCTTTCTCTTTTTTTTTGCAAGAAAACGAGGAAAGAGCGACTCACACCCAAAACTGGAAGAGGAAAAGCAGAGCGCAGACGACAGCCCGTGCACTTGCCGCTTTGCACTGCAGCAGGAGCGAGGTAGGTAGTCGTCCGGAGGATGAAGACCAACGCATCCCGCTGCAGAGAGCGTCGCTTTGTATGAAACAATTTATTTTTCCTCCGCATTCGGAGTCTCTGACAGTGACTAATTTCCTAAAAAAAAAAAAAATATTTTCCCCCCCTTCAAATCTAAATGGACATTTTTTGTCAGATGAGAACCATGAGGACTACTGGTGCAGTGGACTATTTGTACTATTGCCTGCTGATCCTGCAGCTTGTGCATCAGCCCGCTGCCAAGCAAGTGCTCCGGTACCGCTTGGCTGAGGAGGGACCCGCCGACGTGAGAGTGGGGAACGTAGCCGGCGACCTGGGCATCGTAGCCGGGTCCGGCGAGGTGACGTTCACGCTAGAATCCGGCTCAGATTTTTTCAAAATAGACAACATAACCGGTGAGCTCACCACCAACGAGAGGCGCATAGACCGTGAAAAATTACAGCAGTGCCAAATGATATTTGATGAAAATGAGTGCTTTATAGATTTCGAAGTGTCTGTGATTGGACCAGCTCAAAGCTGGGTCGACCTCTTCGAGGGAAAAGTCATTATACTAGATATAAATGATAACACCCCGTCGTTCCCTTCCCCTGTCCTAACACTATCTGTGGAGGAAAACAGACCCATTGGAACCCTTTATCTGCTGCCCACAGCCACAGACAGAGATTTTGGCAGAAACGGAATAGAGCGATACGAGCTTATCCAGGACAATGGGGAGAACTCGAGGCGCTTGGGCTCTTCGGGGGATTCGTTCTCGGGGAAGAGGAGATTTGACGAAGGCGCAAGCAGGAGCAGCGTCTTTGAACTGCAAGTTGCTGACACTACCGACGGAGAGAAGCAGCCTCAACTCATCATTAAAGGGGCCCTCGACAGGGAACAGAGAGACTCCTATGAGCTCACCCTGCGCGTTAGAGACGGAGGAGATCCCCCTCGCTCCTCCCAAGCCATCCTCAGGGTGATGATCACCGATGTGAATGACAACAGCCCTCGGTTTGAGAAGAGTGTGTATGAAGCGGACCTGCCAGAGAACAGCTCCCCTGGTGCCCCCATACTGCAGCTCAAAGCGGCCGACGCAGACGTGGGGGTAAACGGTCAAATCGAGTACGTGTTTGGGGCAGCCACGGAGTCGGTGAGGCGGCTGCTGAGGCTGGATGAGAGCACGGGGTGGCTAAGTGTGTTGCACCGCATTGACCGTGAAGAAGTGAGCCAACTGAGGTTCACGGTAATGGCCCGTGACAGAGGCCAGCCCCCCAAGATGGACAAGGCCACTGTGGTGTTGAACGTGAAGGACGAGAACGACAACGTTCCTGCCATAGAGATACGAAAAATCGGACGCATTTTCCTAAAAGATGGCATCGCCAACGTGGCTGAGGACGTGGTGGTGGACACACCCATTGCCTTAGTTCAGGTGTCAGACCGTGACCAGGGGGAAAACGGCATTGTGACATGCACGGTGGTAGGGGATGTTCCCTTTCAGCTCAAACCAGCCAGCGAGATGGAAGGTGAGCAGAATAAAAAGAAATATTTCCTCCACACGTCCGCAACGCTGGACTACGAGGCCACACAGGAATACAATGTGGTCATAGTGGCTGTCGACTCTGGAAGCCCCAGTCTGGCAAGTAATAACTCTCTGATTGTCAAAGTGGGCGACACTAACGACAACCCTCCTATCTTCAGCCAGAATGTAGTGGAGGTGTCGTTTCCAGAAAACAATGCCCCTGGCGAGAGGGTGACAACAGTGAAAGCCATTGACGCAGATAGTGGGAAGAATGCTGAAATAGCCTATTCCCTAGACTCATCAGTAAATGGGATTTTCTCTATCGATGCAGACAGTGGAGACATCCGAGTAAACATCATTCTGGATAGAGAGCAAACAGAGCGCTACGAATTCAAAGTGATAGCCAAAGATAAAGGCATAAACACTCTACAGGGCTCTGCGACAGTGGTTGTCCTCGTGGCAGACAGGAATGACAACGAACCAAAGTTCATGCAGGATGTGTTCACCTTCTACGTTAAAGAGAATCTTGAACCAAACAGTCCAGTCGGCATGGTCACCGTCATCGATGCAGATAAAGGCCAAAACGCAGAGATGAGTCTTTTCATTGAGGAAGAGGAGGAGATCTTTTCCATCGAGAATGAGACCGGTACTATTTTCTCCACCCTGTCCTTTGACAGAGAGCAGAAAACAACGTACACATTCCGTGTAAAGGCTGTGGACGGCGGTGATCCTCCGCGCTCTGCCACCGCCACGGTTTCGCTCTTAATCATGGACGAAAATGACAACGCGCCAACCGTCACTTTCCCAATAAACAGCTCCTACACCCTTCTTCCCCCCTCCAGTAACATCAGAACAGTGGTCAGAACTGTCATAGCCACCGACTCAGACACTGGCGTCCACGCGGACTTGAACTACAGCATCGTTGGGGGGAACCCCTTCAGGCTGTTTGAGATTGACGGGGGCACCGGGGTCATTTCGCTAGTGGCAAAGCTGGAGCAGAAGCACTACGGCCTCCACAGGCTGGTGGTCCAGGTGAACGACATGGGCCAGCCTTCCCAGAGCACCACCACGCTTGTTCACGTGTATGTTAACGAGACACTCTCCAATTCCACAGTTGTGGACGCCCAGGTGGCCAAGAGCCTCAGCACCTCCCTCAACACCAACATTGCCGGTGACCCCAACTATGACCTAAGCAAACAGCGGCTAAGCATTGTAATCGGAGTAGTTTCGGGCATTATGACGGTCATCCTCATCATTCTGGTCGTAGTCATGGCCCGTTACTGCCGCCCCAAGAATAAGAATGGCTATGAGGCCGGTAAGAAGGACCACGAAGACTTTTTCACGCCACAGCAGCATGACAAGTCCAAGAAGCCCAAGAAAGACAGGAAGAAGCAGAAGTCTAAACAGCCCCTCTATAGCAGCATCGTCACCGTAGAGGCCTCCAAACCCAACGGGCAACGCTACGACGGCGTCAACGAGAAGCTGTCGGACAGTCCCGGCATGGGTCGCTACCGCTCGGTCAACGGAGGGCCGGGGAGCCCGGATCTGGCCCGGCACTACAAGTCCAGTTCACCGCTCCCCACCGTCCAGCTTCACCCGCAGTCGCCGACCGCTGGAAAAAAGCACCAGGCGGTTCAGGACCTGCCACCCGCCAACACCTTTGTTGGCACCGGAGATAACATTTCCCTTGGATCTGACCACTGCTCCGAGTACAGCAGTCAAACCATCAACAAGTACAACAAACAGGTAAGGAGGCGAATCTTAATGCCCCCCCCACCCCCTCCCCATCCCTCTCTCCACCACTCTTAAATGTGTTCTGTTTCTTCCTCTTAGCGTTCACTCCACCGTAATGCTTTCTGACAGGGCTTGTCTCAGTAGTCGTGTTGCCTTTATGGCGCTAATGTGTGTGAAGTTAGCGGCATTGATCCGTTCTGTTTTTTTGGAATGCCATTCGCATGTAACATTAAAAAAGGGGGGAGAGAAAAAGTTCAGCTCATCATACTAAGGGGATATCGACCACAGGGGACTAAACTCATCCGACTTTCCCCCCTTTCGTCACGGCGCGTGTTAAGACTGCCGTTTCCGTATGCGTCGTCACATCTACTAAACTTAGCAACTGCGTGTGGAAGTGTTGTAGACGGCTCACATAAGGGCTTGGCTTGCAGTTATTTTACCGTGGAGGGAAGAGTGCCAGGGGCTGACCACACTCCCCTAGAGCCAAGTCAGGCCCGGCCCTGCCCCTCTGCCTGTTCCTCTTGTGAAAGAGAGCCGAAACAAAAGAGGAAAAAAGGGAGAAAGGTAGATGTTGGGTGAATGCAGCACAAACACGGCTTTGTGCGTCACGTTTTACAGTACGAACATCTGGCCGGGAAGTCGGATCGGCATTCTTGCGCACTTCTGGGTCAGCAGTGAAATTAGACATAATCATATCATCTCCATCTATTGTGCCTGGGCTGTCTGTTACTCCCGTTAATCCGTTTCCTCTGATATAAAAAGAAAGACATCGTCTACTTTTTTTCCTCTACTCTCCTCCACCCTCCGGCAAAGTCTCACCTCCCTTCTTGTACTTTATTTTCTTCACAGTGACTCTTTTCTTCCATTTGCAGTGCTGGAAAAAAAAAAGGTGTATGTGGCATGATGTGATATTCAAATGTGAGCTTTTTTATTTTTTTATAGCTATTTTTGATCAGTCTTTCCGCTCTGATATGCGGCAACAGCCAGAAAAATAGTTAATACATAAGGAAGTCAGTTGATTTGCGTTTTCGGAAACACTATTGTTTTGTGTGTTTTCTATGGCAGATTAATTAATTATTGATCTTTCTTTTACATGATCTCAGCACAGCTCTTTAGAAATGTGGAGTGGTGTTTTCTCTTATGTTAATATTTTTATATTCTATGCCCACGGTCCCCCTCAAACTCTCTTTTGACTTGACGCAGTGCATCCTCGCATCCACCCTTGAGGCCTCCAGTCTCGCAGTATTCCTTTTCCTTGTGTAGTTTTTTTTCACTCTCCGCCACATCGTACCGTTTGCAATGGTGCTCTACCTTTTTTCTTGCAGTGGTTCCTTTTTTTTTAAATCCCCAATCTCATCCCCGTATATCCCTCTCCTCGCTCTCTTTCTCTTACCCCTCCAATAATTTCACTTCCCTTATTACTTCTCTGCCTTCTCTTCCTCGCCTCTGTCTTTAACGGCCTCTAATATTGAGTATTCACTGAGCTGCTTCCCAGAGTGTGAGGAGTGATGTTGCTTTCCGATGTCTCCTGCATAATTAAAAGGGCACTCTACTTGCTGCTGCGGCATGTATTGTGTGTCACCGTGCTCCACTTATATAATTATTTATTTACTCTCTACATTAATGCTGCGGTAACTTTTATGGACTGCGTTTGTTACAAGACAGTGTCATGGAGAAAAAAAAAAAAAAAAAACTAATGCACAACGAGAATTTTCCTGTGACTCTCGGGCATTTAGTTTGGATATTGTAAAAGTAAAGAAAGTGTTTAGTGGCCCAGTGGGCAATATTAACCAGGTTTATTTGATTGGGTAGCCTGTTATATATTTAATATAAAATCGCCTTTTATATCCCGCGGGCCCGGTAAATACTCACTGTTGATGATGAATTCTGTTGGGGTGAATAAGGTGTAATTTAATAGCTGCACAAGAGAGCTAATTGAAGAGAAAGTGTGCGTTCGCGTGAAACAATTATGGCATTAAACAGCCACCTCTGTATTAGATTAAGTGGCGAAGCGGTCACACTCTCAATTTTAGGGACGCCTGGCAATATTTTAGAGTCACATAAGTGCCACTACAGCCCGAAGACATAATAAAACACTCCACGACTCTCGCCTTTCCCGCAGTTAAGGGAACAATTTGATCCAGATCCAGATTAGCTAGAAAGGGACACTCTCAACAAAAACCACTGACGTTATACGGCCATTACATCTCGCCCGAACCATGTGCTATGCCTTCTTGTGATTTATTCATAGTGCCGACGTTATAGGTAATATTTGACCTTTTCATCTACAAACGAGCTTGAGCCTCTGCTGCGTATGGTCGAGATTCATTTGTGTGCGTATACTCCCTCGCCGACAGACCCCCCTCTCTTTTACCTCTCCCTCTCTTTTTGTCCATCTGTGGGAAGAGATAGAGGCCGGGCACAAGAAAGGCGGCCCTGTTAGCGGCGTAGAGAATGGCCCCTTCTGTTTCACCAGGGGACCCAGGGGTCGGGCGGAGAGAGAGACGGGGAGAACGGGAGAGAATAGCGGCGACCGTTGACTGCGAAGGTATCGCGTTCCGCCTTCCTTTGTCCTCGCCTACCTAATCTCGCAGTAACTGCACAGGCAACTTGCTCGGGCAGGTAACCAAGCAACTGAGGGAGTTAATCGGTGAGGCGAGCCTTTCTTTTTAGCCCGTCAGACATTTAAACAGTCATTAAGCTGATATACCGGTGAGGTAGAAGCTAGCGTGTCACCCGGCATCTGCTGAGGCTTGTTCGGGAGGTGCAATTGACTTGACATTTCATCTCTTCCTTGAACCTCATTGATTGGGACTTATTCATAATTCCTTTTCTGTATTCCCGCCGAGCGCCTCGATTGCACTCGTCGGCCCGGCCGCTTCTTACGTACGTATGTCCTCTCCTTACATCTGCGAGCTGATGAGCAGTGCGCGCACTTAACAGAACACTTAACTGTATTACTTTTGGCAGTGGCCTCTGTTGCAGCCAGTGCCAGCAAATAATGCTGGCCGGCCGTAATGCGGCGAGGAATAAAATCACTTAGCCCTTGAATTAGCGCGAGCCGTCAGCTTTCGTTTTATCGCGGCGCTTCAAAAGCGCCACCCGTTGCCCAGGTGGATCACTTTTAATCAGCGGCGAGCCCCAGCAGCTTGTGCCTCGCGCTTTCGCAGGCGCGCCCCCCCTCAGGGCAGGCAAAGCCCCCGGTCCACACTCCTCACAGGAGGTTTATCCCGCCTCGGGGCTGAAGCGGCAAGAATAACTGGACGCTGCTGGTCCCTGGACACAGCAGCCGGCTGGTTCACCTCTGCGTTATCGTAGCTGCAACCGCTCCGCCGTGGGCCTTAATACAGCTGAGAAGCATCTGATTTGAATCTGGGCAAATCCTCGCCAGGCCAAACGACACCACCATGCAAATAGGGGGGTCACCTGGAAGGGTGTTTGTAGCCAAAACATAGGAAGCAAGTCAGGCTCCGGGCAGAGCAGGAAACCCATATGGAAATGTGGCACTTTGCCTTTGACCTTGTTTGTTTTAACCAGCAAATGTAGCTGCCTACGACACCTATGAAAAGCCACAAATGGCCTAATTTGAGCTGCCGCAGAACCTCTTGAGTTTGACAGGAACACCCGTGCACGGCGACATTGTCCGAGCCACTTCAACCGCAACGTTCAGCTCCTCCTCGATGGTTAAAGCGGTGCAATTGCTCTCTTGAAGAGGACCCACAAAATATCCAAACGGCCTCCACGCCGGCTAATACAGGAGGAAGCAGACAAAGGGTCTCTTTGGTCACTTTTCTGAACCATCAGCAAGTCTGACTTTGCATGTCAGATCAAGGTGCTAAAAGGTGAAAAACACACAAACACACACACACACGCACAACTGGAAATCTTGTATTTTGTAAGAAATGGAATTATGTGCAATGAGCTAGTTAGTTTATTGCCAGATTAATTATCTTATGCCTTTTTGTGGTGATGGATACTGCCGACTGTTGCTAATTTGATCGAAATTGATTTGGATCTATTAGCGCCTAATTCAATCTACGGCTGCTCTGGCTTTTGTTGTTCATGTTATGAAAAGGAAAATGGAAGGAGTGAGACTGCGCGGTAATACTCGTGAAATTGCGGCGGGCAGCATTTTTTGATATAATTTGGTTTGGGGATTTGAATGCATTGGCTCTAAGGCAGTTACTAATCTCAGGATTAGACTTACCTGATCGTCAAGTCAGAGGGAAATTGGTACAGCTGGTTCCTGCTATTACCCTGCTTAATGTGTAAATACTGAGGTTTTCACTCACTGCAGCTATAAGGGAAACCATGAAGAATATTGCTTCGTTTCCATTTCCTCTCTTCTCTCCATGCGAGAGATGAGCAAGGGAGCACAGTTTTATTCGCACGGAAATAAATACTCGTGATTGAAGGAGATTTAACTCATTCTCCAACATTTGTCATGATAAGATGCAGAGAACAGGGACGGGGGGGGGGGGGAGACAAGGGGTGAGACAGACATGAAATTTAAGCCGCATGCCACCTTGATTGCTCTCCACGCGGCTGATTGTAAGTGTCAGTGTCGGGGATGCCACCTTCTTCTCGCCCCTTCTTTCAATTTGATGTCATCGAAAATGAAATTTCATTTCATTCGCGGCAGCGATCGCATTAGATAGCGCTCGCCTGGATAAAGCGCATTCATTTTTTTTTTTTTTTCTTTGGTGCAGATTTGCCTTTCCTGTGGCACTACCAATCATCCCGCGCTCATCACACCGCAGGCCTGTTTTTCACGGCATTTTTTTCGTACAGTAAAATTGACTTTTTACAAGCCTCCCGACGTCTCTGGTGGGCCGGCCTTGTTGTTATCGCCAGCTGTCCCCTTGCGTGGGCCGCCGGCGCTACAACCGGCCGGACAGGAACATCGCTGTGCGGCCTCCGGGGGGGGGGGGGGGGGTGCGAGATCACAACACGGATCGGACTCCTGTTTGTGAGACTAATAGGCGAAACAATAGCGCTTTGTTTACGGTGAC